CAATTGAATTCAGATTCTTGAATTAGAAGGATTCAAAATTTTTTCCTAAACAGGGACAAAACACCGCGTTTTCTTTGCCCCTTGCATGGTTAGTTGTTCTGGGGAAGGAAAGCATGTTGCAGAGAGAGAAGTTGAAGGGAAGAGCGAGTAAAGTTTGGAGCTTTTTTTTTTTTTTCCCTGTATTTTCGGAAGGCAGCCGGGTCAAGTAAGGTGAATATGTATAGAGACCAGTACTTATGGGCTTTAGTCTTCTTGAGGAGTATTTGGGCATGGTGATCAAACTTTTGGCTTTGTTGACTAGAAGTCTTTCGTTTTCTTCTACACTTGGTAATTTCTAAAGTTATTGGCTTTCAGTATTCTTTTTTCTTTTTACAACACTCTTCTTGTAAACTAAAATTAGGAGTAACCAAAAAAAAAAAGAAAAAAAAAAAAAAAAAAAAAAAAAAAAAAAAAAAAACCAAAGGTTATAATTTATTATGTCAAATAATTTCTCATCTTGCCTGGCAAATTTCAACTTTCAATAAATAATTATTTATTATTTGGTTTATTCATTTAAAAACCTAAAATTATTAGAAATTTTAAAAAAATAACACGCACGTGCTTGAGACATTACCAAGCATAAAGAGGAGAATAATTATGGATAAATATTCAATATTACACTAGAAATTACAACGATAACAGAAGAATTACAAGCTGCAAAGACATCTCTGATATGCCTTACTTATTATTAGACGATGCATATATTTGCTATAAGCAAACAGAGGAATACATATGCTGATACCCTTTATCCCCTTTATAATTGAACTTCTGTTGTGCATTATCAATCTTCTATACAGATGAGGCGCACATGCGCAATTTTATTCAAATCTTCATTTTGTTTATCTTTCAGGCTTGATGATAACATTGGCAGTTTTGTTAGTTTTACTTCTCGAAGGGTGTCGATGGATCGCAGTGCATCAGGAAGCATCTTCAAATTTATGCAGTGTCTAATCTCCAGGTGTTTCAGACTAGGCATTGCTCCTTTTTCCATATTCCATTCCTCTAATAGCTCCAGCTCCCACAGCTTGAGGACTTCAAGCTTTGGAAATCCTCCATCTTTGCAAAGCATTTTCTTTCCTGCAAAGAATTTTCTTTCCTGAAAATGATTTCGAAAACAATCTCACAATTCTGAGGTTGGGAAGCTTCTCTAATGCCTGCATTGGGTCCTCGATTAGTCCAGATGCAGACAAGGTGACCTCAGTGAGGCTTTGCGGAAAATTAGATATAAGATCTTGATTCTTAAGCTTTCCAACCAAATATATATCAGAAAGCTCCACATTGCCTGATAAAGACTGCAAATGTACATCCCAAGGCTGACCTGATTCATCAAATGACTTCAACCTCAGATATTGAAGGTGTTTTAGATTCAGAACCCAATCTGCTATATTAAACAGTTGCAAGGACATGGCTGCTTTTTGAGATGGGTCTGATATTTTGCATTTCAGTGCCAACTTTCTGATGCTTAACCAACTGTCTAGGCCATTTTTTACTGGACTATTCTCATTTATGAATGCACCCCAAAATGTTTGAAGTTCCACTAAAGAGCTGTGTTCTTGTTGCAGGATAAATGTGCTGCAGAAACTCTCATCTAAGAAAACTTCTCATCTAAGAATTAAATGCCTTTAGTTTTTGGCATTCTTCAGGATAAGGTGATGGGGAGGAGTAATGATGCAGTGCGCTTCAAATCAAGTGTTTGAAGGTTCACCCTTGTCAGTGAAATGGGAAGCATTTCCTAGGTAAGTTGATCTCAAACCCTTAGGTATCTCAATGATATAGCTGACCTACTGCCTTGGCAATATTGGCTTGTAAACATTTTCCAAGAAATCACAGCACCCATAGAAACGGAAGCAATTGCTGGAGATGCATCGATCAAAGAAAAGCTTCCCTATTATCTTGTCCTGCTCTAATTTCCTTCTCGAGTATCAAATGATAAAAGGTGATGTATCTTCTGTAACAAGAGTCAGGGAAGTGGTGCTATTACCCATGGAATGTGCTCGAACACGATCCAGGCATCATTCTGATCAAGATGATCAGCAATGACGGCGCCATGGGAACTGGTGTTTCAATCATTGGAGCACGCGACAAAAATTAGGCTTCCTTAAAGCTTTTGCATACCCAGTGTACTCGCAGGGCCTCTGCGTAGGCAACACGTCTTCACCTCCCATTGGGTTTCCTCTCTGTCGCTTTGAACCGTATTATAACTGATCAACTCTCTTCAACACACGCACCTCTTGCAACATCTTCAGGGGAGTTGTCATTCATATCTGTTGACCGCCCCAGCACCCTCAGCAACCCACAAAAGCAATCAATTCTTCTTGCAGGGAACCTTATAACCCACAGGGAAATAATCCAAAATAAAAGAGACACTCGCCTCAAAATACAATGGCAAAGATAGAATTGTTGATCTCTTCCAAGGCGCTGACCAAGCGTTCTTCATCTTTATTTAGTTGGTCAAAGCAACCCTTGGACCCATTGACCATTCCTCTAGAGTTGCATCTCTCTGTGATAGCAGTTCTGCTAATTTCACAATCACCTTAGGCAACCCCCCACATTTTCTTAAAATATGTTTTTTCAGATTTAGCTCTAGCTCTGGAGGGATCTTTATCTTCAAAGCATGTCTGAACAATTCCCAGCTCTCAACATTGGTTCGCAGATGCAGTCTGTAAGCAGAGTTGGTCTCGGTGACTGGTGGAGCTTTTGATAACCTATCAACAAGGAAAATTATTCTTGTGCCATTAGATATGTCTCTGAATGCTGTTCCCATTTCTCGCCAAAATTAAATACTTGCGTTCGAGCCATCAAACAAACGATGACGACACTTCTTATTCCAATAAATTAAATTATTAAGCCATCTTCCCTCAGCGCTATTTCTTAGTTTTTTCTATGACACGATAAAACTATAATATTAAATTTGGACGTCTTATATGAAGGCTTCAAAATTCTCTTCCATGATAGCATGATCATTTTGGTCTAGCAACCCAGTTCCGGTGAGCGAACCCAGTTCCGGTGAGGGAAATTATCTAAAATAACCTGGCTGCCACAGATCAACTTTGCAAGGTTTGTCTTGCCAATGCCTTTGACACCCACAATTGAAATGGTGAGGCAGCGAGGATCATCTTTGAGCAGTTGTTTTATAACTGCATCAACATCCTCTTCAAAGCTGACCATATGAATATCAAGTTGCTCAAGAGTAGCAGTAGGAGGAGTTATGCTTGGATATCCGTGCCTGTGCCATGTTCTTTGATGAATGGCTTCATATCTTCGTTTCATATCTTCGTTCTGAAATATCAGAGACTTTAACTTGGATTCGAGCCATCTGTTGGACAAGATTATGTTGGGAAATGAATTTATGGGGGGACCAGACTAAGCTTTTGGGATTATCTTTCTCATTTTTAGTCAAGAAGAGCCCAACAACATTCTCGGTGGAGCGACAAACATCGCAAAGTTCTTCCGTCCATGCCATTACCCTTTCGCTCAGTGTTTCTCGTGATTCAAGATCTTTTAGAAAGACCTTCAAGGACTTGAATTCATCTCTTAACCACCTGGCTTGCTTTCTAACTGCAGGCCTGAGCTGTCTCTTAGTAGCTAAGGCTTCAAACTTAGAAATTACAAATTACAGGCGAAACAATTGTCGTGCCTATTTCCAAATCATATGGGCTAAAGGTATTATGCCAAGAACCAGATGCCAAAATCACGCTGAATATTCTGGAAATATTAACTTTGATCGCTTCCAATTTTTTGTAGAATCTATAGGAATCTGTCAAGTCGATGAGTGCCAAAACATAAAAGAACTGTCTTGGAAGATCAACAAGGCTCAAAATACGGTGAATGATAGCTTCTCTACTCCTCCTTTGGGCTGATCTGATTATCAACTCATCAATCAAATCTTCAATGTCATACATAATCTCGATTAATACATATGGGGACAACACGTTCTGCGACAAATCAGCATATGTTCGCAACTGGGCTTCGATCCATTGGAATTGATCTTCAAATCCAAGCAATGAATCAGACTCTTGAACAAGAAGATGCAATGAATCAGACTCTTGAACAAGAAGATGCAAAATTTTTCCTAAAACAGACAAAACGGTTTGTCTTGCCATGTCTGGGTTAGTTGTTCTGGGAAAGGAAAGCATGTTGCAGAAGAGAGAAGTGAAGGGACGAGCCGAAGATGAGTAAAGTATGGAGTTTTTTTCTTTATTTAGAAGGAGCGGTCATGTAAGGTGCTGGGTTAGGGACAGTACTTGTTAGGAGCTTTTTAGTCTGTAAAGAGAAATTTTATGAATTGCTTTTATTATACAAAGTTGGGCATGGTGATGAAACTTTGTCTTCGTTGACTTGAAGTCTTCGTTTTCTTCTACACTGGTAATTTCTCAGTTATTGGATAATTAGCATCCCACATAGCCTTCTTTCACCTTCTTCATCTAAAATAAGTGATAGGGATGGTTGTTTTTAAAATGTAAAATGACAGTTGATTGTATAATTATTTTTATTTTCATATAGTATGACATATAATGTGTACACATTTATATTTCATTTTAGAGTAAATATATTATTTTTTAAGTTTAATTTATTACATAAATAAAAATATTTATTAAACTTTTTAAAATAAATTATTATTTTTAAATAATGATAAAAATATTAAATAAAAATTTTATTGGTAATTATTTTATAAGATTAATGAAAACCAAGCATAATTTAAATATAAATCACTTACCAACTGATAAGAAAAAGCTTTAAAATATAATTTATAAGATCAGCAGCTGATTAGAAACTTTTATCATCAATCAATCGCTGATTAAAAAGCTTACAGTTTGGCTATTGGATAATAGCCAAGCCTAAGCCCATCTGTATACTCTATTAGCAGATGATGAGAGAATATATGTTAGGAAAGAATATTTGCAAATAATATTGTATCCCTATTAAAATGAGATTTCATTTTCAAATTAGGCTTAGCAATCTGTATAAATACATATAGTTTACATCAATAAAATATATCTGTTGTAGTAACATTGTTTTAGTCTTTTATGGTATCAGAGCTCCAAGACAAACGTCTCTTGATCCTTTTCCTTTCTTCTTTTTCATCTCTTCCACAATGAGTGATACATCTATACAATTAGTAACATTTAATGTAGCTGCACAAGCTCCTCTAAAGCTCTAAAGCTCACAGGATCAAATTACATTGCTTGGAAACCTCAGTTTCAAAGCTTGTTAATAGGTTATGATCTTCTTGGCCATATAGATGGCTCTCATCCTTGTCCATCTCCCACTGTTTCTGGAACTTCTACTCCCAATTCAGAATATAGTCATTGGATTAGGCAAGATCATCTTCTCATCAATGCTTTCATTGGTGCTCTCTGACCTTCTTTTATTCCTTTCATTGCAACAGCCAAAACATCCAAACAAGCATGGGATATTCTTGAGACTATCTATGCCAAACCTTCTAGGGGCAGAATCAAACAAATCAAAGCTCAACTTAAAAGCATCACAAAAGGTAGTTCAACAGTTATAGAATACATGCAGGCAATTCGGATGAAAACTGATGAACTAGCAATGTTATACTCACCTATGTCTGAGGAAGACATCACTCATCGTATTTTAGAAGGTTTGGAAAATGCTTACAAAGAAATCATACAGGCTATCAATGCTCGTGATTCTGCGATACCCTTTGATGAGTTACATGAAAAACTCATAACTTTGAGGCAACTCTTCCTTCTGCTACACCAACATATTTTCCAGCCACTGTAAATTATTCACAAAGAACAAAAAATAAGAATAGTAACAATCACTAGAAACAGCCTTTCAATCACCAAGCCAATCAACAAAGAAGCTAGCTATATAATCAAGGAAATCAGAATAGCAGCGGCTCTCAGTATCCCATCAATCATAATCTCCATGGGCCGAATAATCAGCAATTTGGTCATAAACCCTACCTTGACCGTTGTCAAATATGTGGTACTCAAGGTCATTCAGCTAACCGGTGTCCTTCCTTTCGAGTTGTTCCAGTTGCAAGTCATCCACAAGCCAATTTTTCTGCAGTTTCTTCTTCTTCATCAACCCCATGGCTGCTGGATTCTGGTGCTAATCAGCATATTACTGCTGACCTCAATAATTTGTCTTTACACTGCCTGTACACGGGAATGGAGGATGTGATGATTGGAGATGGTTTAGGTTTGAGTATCAGTCACACTGGTAGTGCCACTCTACAAACAGCAATTAAAGAAATTTCTTTAGAAAATGTTCTTTGTGTTTCACAAATGAAAAAGAATCTCATTTCTGTTTATCAATTCTGCGTGAGTAATAATGTTTCAGTGGAATTCTCATCTTATTTCTTTCTTGTGAATGAACTCTTGACAGGGAACCTACTTCTCAGGGGCACGCCTAAGGATGGAGTTTATAAGTGGCCTACATCAACTCCTTTGCTAGCTTTTTCATCCACCGTTGCTTCTGCCATTGATTGGCATTCTCGTCTAGGTCATCCTGCATTATTAACATTCAAAAATATTATTTCTAATAATTCTATTCCATTACATTCCAATTCAATTCAAAAATATTATTTCAAAATTCTATTCATTACCATTTCCAATTCCATTCCAGTCTAGTTCTTCATTAAATTCATGTTTGTTAATTAAAAGTCATTAAATTGCCTTGCCTCTATTTCTACACTTAGTTTTTACTCAACCATTAAAATTATTTTCTTCTGATGTGTTGGAACATTCTCTGTAATTTCTACTTGCTGCTTTTCAAAAGTCTATGTCATTTTGTTGATCATTACCATCGTTCATTACACTCGTTATACGTGGCTTTATCACTTAAAACAGAAATCTGAAGTGCAATCAGTCTTCATTAGATTTAAAGCTCTTGTAGAAAACTTCTTTGATAGACAAATAAAAACTTTGTATTCTAATAATGGTGGTGAGTACATTGCCTTAGCCTCATTTTTATCTACCAATGGTATTTCTTTTAAAGGTACTCTGCCACACGCACCCGAGCATAATGGCATTTCTGAAAGAAAACACTGTCATATTGTCGAAACAGGTTTAACTTTATTATCTCATGCTTCCATGCCTATTTCTTATTGGCCATATGCTTTTTCTACAGTAGTTTATCTTATTAACAGGATGCCTTCGAAACTTTTGAACATATCAAATCCATATTTCTGTCTTTTTGGTTCTAATCCAAACTATATGAAACTCAGGATCTATGGTTGTTTGTGTTATCCTTGGCTCAAACCTTCAAACCTTATACACATAATAAATTGGAACCTAAGTCTAAGCCATGTGTTTTTATTGGTTATTCATCTTCTCAAAGTGCATATCAGTGTTTAGATCTCAAAAGTTCCAAAATTTATACCTCTCGTCATGTTCAGTTTGTTGAATCTGTTTTCCCATTTGCTACTTCCTTAAAGTCAGTGTCTTTGTCGTCGCCTCCAATTTCAGCATGGATAAATTCATCCCATGCTGCTACTTTTTCAGAAATTCCCATGCCACTCATTACTACGCCTATGGTACCTGCTGCACCTAGACAAGAGGGTTCCACTGCTCAGAGACTTCCTTACAACACAGACATATCAGCTGCTATTTGTGCTGAGGTACAAGCTCATGTGCCTAATCTTGATGTTATAGCTGGTGTTGCAGCTCATGTGCCTAATGCTGTTGTTCCAACTCCTGTGTCTCACACTCAAGAGCAACATTCTGATGTTAGTATTCGTCAACCAGCAGTAATAAATAGTCATCATACGGTCACACGAAGCAAAAATAATATTCATAAACCCATACAAAAGCTTAGTCTGCTTAGTCTTTCTTGTGAGTTCACATCAAGTACTGACACTGAACCTCGCACAATTTCACAAGCATTCACAGATCCTAAGTGGAGGAAAGCCTGTTCTGAAGAATTTGATGCTTTGGTGAGTAATGGGACTTGGAAATTAGTTCCTCCTACTGATTCTCAAAATCTGGTTGGCTGCAAGTGGGTGTTTCGGATCAAGCGTAATTCAGATGGTACGGTTCAACGATACAAAGCCCGATTAATGGCAAAAGGCTTTCATCAACGTCCCGTTGTCGACTTTTATGAAACATTTAGTCCGGTTGTTAAACCAATAACTATACAACTAGTTCTTAGTATAGCAGTTACTAATGGTTGGGAACTACGTCAACTCGATGTTAACAATGCTTTTTTACAAGGGCCATTGACAGAAGATGTAGTCATGGCCCAGCCACAAGGGTTTCAAGATGTAGATAACCCCATTATGTTTGTCATTTACGGAAAGCAATCTATGGGTTGAAACAGGGGCCCAGGGCTTGGTATCAAGCTCTACGTCAACATCTACTGGATACAGGTTTTGTCAATTCCTTATCAGATGCTTCTTTATTTATAAATTAGTCATTAAAAGAAAGGTACTTTGCTACTTATTGTGTATGTTGATGATATCATAATCACGGGTAGTTGTACAAGGCTTATTCAAGATTATATCACTGTTTTGGCAACGAGGGTTTCTCTCAAAGATTTGGGCTCACTGCACTACTTTCTAGGTATTGAAGTTATACCAAATAAGCACGGGCTACTGTTGTCACAACGCAAATACATTTTAGAGCTTCTTAAGCAGACACATATGAGCAATGCAAAATCAATATCAACACCAATGGCAAGCAATTCCATATTGACGCTCACAACAGGTGCTAAATTGTCTGACCCGGCAGAATATAGAAGAGTTATAGGAAGCTTACAGTATTTATCTCTGACTCATCCAGACATTGCCTTCTCTGTCAATAAACTCTCTCAGTTTAATCATCAACCCACAATAGAACATTGGGCAGCAGCAAAGCGACTTTTGCGGTATTTGATTGGAACTTTGAATGATGGACTTCAGCTGTTTAAAGATTCTCCATCTGTCTTGCATGCTTTCTCTGATGCAGATTGGGGAGAGATCGTGATGGGTACCATTCGACAGGAGCATTTGTTGTGTATTTTGGTTACAACTTGATTTCGTGGAGCTCTAAGAAACAGAGATCGGTTGCGCGTTCTTCGACGAAGGCTGAATATAAATCAGTGGCAAACACAGCACCTAAACTCAACTGGGTATTGCATCTTCTCTCTGAGTTGCAGGTTCAATTGAAGAATCGCCCTGTGATTTATTGAAACAATGTTGGTGTGACACAATTGAGCTCTAATCCAGTATTTCACTCTCGTATGAAGCATGTAGCGATTGACTTTCACTTTATTCGAGAGTAGGTTCAGTCAGGCATTTTGCGTGTCTCTCATGTGGCTGCCGCTGATCAGACAGCCGATATGCTCACTAAACCCCTATCTTGCCTACCGTTTCTGAAGAATAAGATCAAGCTAGGGCTTCATCAACGCCTTGGAGGAGGAACACAATGATACACTGTAGATGATTTTATGTACTCTATTGCCTGAAATCAGGTTGAAACTACTTCCAATTGTTCACTTGTACTCTTTTCTTCAATGGAGCATTGGAGGCTGGCCTTCTACAACTGTGCTTGCTGCCTAGCTTTGATAGTTGACAAATTCTTAAGTTGATGCCGCAGTAGGCTGGTAAAGTGGGGTTGTCTGCTGTAATCTTGGACAAACCGATACCAAGCTAGGGCTTTATAATTGCCCTTAAGCTTGAGGGTGGGTAATAGCCAAGCCCAAGCCCATCTGTATAATCTATTAGCAGATGATGAAAGAATATCTGTTAGGAAAGAATGTTTGCAAATAATATTGTATCCCTATTAAAGTGGGATTTGATTTTCAAATTAGGCTTAGCAATCTGTATAAATACATATAGTTTACATCAATAAAATATTTTTTGTTGCAGTAACATTGTTTTAGTCTTTTGTTGGATAGGAATGAATTAGTTATCAACTAAATGAATGAGGTCAATCAACTAAAAGGAAACCAAAATAAAGCACATGTTGTCAATCAAGTGTGGTCTGATTAGTCTTTCTACTTTTTGAACCATTATAGCCCTACCGATTGGAAACCTGTATTAGCAATAAAAACTTATAGTTTAATTGTTGGATGGAAATTAATCGGTTATCAACTGAACGAATCAACTCAACCCCAAAAGCAACATGTTGTTAATGATGGAAGACGTTATTGGAGATTTTGTCTTCATTTACAAAAGAATAAAGACTCCAAAAGCAAAGGAAGGCACATATCCACTAGAAAAGAATATATGCGGAGACTCCATTAAAGTCTTTCTAGTGATTGGAATCCTGTATATTGCACTCTCAAATCATTTTTTTTTTTTAAGATGTTAATAAAGCAAGAAGGGATTGGAAATGTGGATCTGAATTTAGGAGATAAAAAAAAAAAGATTGTGTTACACAATTTATATACACTTTAAAAAATAATTTGTCTAAATCCGATTTATGAATTCTATTTTTATAGATCAAACGAATGAAAATATATATATCATTTTTGAAATATATATAAAAAAAAAAAAAAAAAAAAAATAATATATATAAAGAACATAAAAAAATAATATAGATATAATAAAATAGATATAGAAAAAGAATAAATCAGAGAATATAATACAAAATAGAACGAAAATTAAACTCAACCACCACAAAGCAAATAGTATATAAGTATAATAGATAGAGAGAAAAGAATATATGAGAATATTATAGATACATAATTTAAAAATAAAGAAATACAAACAAAAAAAAAAGACAAAAAGAAGAGACATATAAAACTAGAAAAAAAATAATAATGCGAAGAGACTAATTAAGTATATTACTAAGATCTGATAGAAATACAATAGATAATAATAATAACAATATTAAAATCAAATTTTTATATATATATTTATAAAAAATATATAAAATAAAAAGCAAGAGAAGATAATTAAAAATAATAAGAGATATAAAATTAATAAGAAAAAAAATAAAAAAGAAATGTGTATACAAATTATAAAAATATAACAACTAATTATAAAAAAAATAATTAATGTATAAAATAAACAGAATAATATATGGAAAATAATCATAAATATTTAGATCAAACGAATGAAAAATAAAAAAAAATAAATAAATACATATATATGGAAAAATAAAGAAAATAATATAAAATAAAAAATAAATAAAATAAAATAAAATACATAATAATAAATAAATTAAAATAATAATAAAAAAATAATATAAATAAAAAAAATAATAAATAAAATATGTTAAAAAAATGAAGAAAAGTGATAAAAAATAGCTAAAGTTATTAAGTTAAGATAAAAAAAAAAAAGAAAAAAGAAAAAAAAAAAAACAGCAAAAACAGATAAATATATATATGTTAAAATGAGAGTGTTGCTAGTTATTAGTTAAGAAAAAAAGAAAAAGCGTAAAAGTGAAAACAATTTTTAAATATCTTCATATTTGATCTATAGGTAGGTTAAAAAATCGGAGAATAAAAAATTTTTATCCTTACAAAATATCATTTTTGAAATTTTTCAAAAAGCAATTAAACAATGAAAATGAAAATTACTATCCAAATATCATTTTGACTAGTTAAGTATTCATATATTTTTTTATATTTTTTGGCAACTGCACAAAAGTTAATCCAATGGATGACTATTAAAATAGTAAAGTCCTACGGCACAAAAAGTACTCTCATTAAAAATTATAAATTTAATTAGGCATACATACATATTTATTTATTTATTTGCAAATTTACACAAATTATCCCAATTCTTATGTCTCCACATAACATGTCAATAAGTAAGAAAAACCATATTATGATAAACTTTAATTTTGAAAACTTCCAATAGCCTTACAACACTCTTCTGTACTCTTCTGTAAACTAAAATTAGAGTAAAAAAAAAAAGGAAGAAAGGTTATAATTTATTATGTCAAATAATTTGTCATTTTGCCTGCCAAATTTCAAATTTCAACTTTCAATAATAATTATTTATTATTTCGTTTATTCATTTAAACAATTAAAATTATTATAAATTTTTTAAAAAATAACACACACAAGCTCGAGACAGTACCAAGCATAAAGAGAAGAATAGTTATGGATAAAAATTCAATATTACACTGGAAATTACAACAATAACAGAAGAATTACAAGCTGCAAAGACATCTCTGATATGCCTTACTTATTCTTAGACAAAAACTGACATTAATCATGCATATATTAGCTATAAACAAACAGAGGAATACATATGCTGATACCCTTTATAGTTGAACTTCTGTTGTGCATTATCAATCTTCTATACAGATGCGGCGCACATGCGCAATTTTATCCAAATTCTCATTTTGTTTATCTTTCAGAGTTGATGATAACTCAGAGTTGATGATAACAGTGGCACTTTTATTAGTTTTACTTCTCGGGAGGTGTCAAAGTGCTCGCGCAGTGCATCAGGGAAAGCATCTTTCCAAAATTTATGCAGTGTTTAATCTCAGTGTTTCAGAACCAAGGCAATTGTCCTTTCTCCATATTCCATTCCTCCATAGCTCCAGGGGCTTCCACAGCTGGAAGGACTTCACAGCTTTGGAATCCTCCAATCTTTGCAATCATTTTCTTCCTGAAAAAATGATTCTGGAAAACCATCTCCAAGCCCTAGGTTGGCGAAGCTTGTTCATGACTGCATTGCGTCGTCGATCAGTCAGAAGCAGACAAGGTTAGTGCAAGTGAGGCTTAGGGGGAACTTAGATAATTACATCTTGATTCTGTTAGCTTCTTCCGGAGCCCAGAATATATATCAGAAAGCTCCACATGCCTGACAAAGGACTGCAAAACTGTAGAGCCCAATGCTGACCTGATTCATTTCAATGGATTTCAACCTCAGAGATTGAGTGTTATTTAGATGCAGAACCCATCTGCTATATTAAACAGCTTTGCAAGGACCAGACTGATTTTGAACGGGGACTGATATTTTGCATTTCAGTGCCATTTTCTGATGCTTACATTTCAGTGCCAATTTTCTGATGCTTAACAAACTGTCTAGGCCATCTTTTACTTGACTATTCTCATCAATGAATACACCCCAAAATGTTTGAAGGTCCATTAGAGAGTTGGGTTCTTGTGGAGGGAAAAATGTGCTGCAAAAACTGTCATCTAAGAATAAATGCCTTAGTTTTTGCATCTTCCAGATAGTTGTGGGGAGAATATTGGGGCAAGTGCGCTTCAAATCAAGCGTTTGAAGGTTCAGCAATTTATCAATGAACATAGGAAGCATCTCTAGATAAGTTGATCTCAAGCCTAGGTATCTCAAGTGAGTGAGCTGACCGACTGTCTTGGGCAATTTTGGCTTGTAAACATTTTCAAGATCCAGCACCCATAAGAAACGGAAGCAATTGCTAGAGATGCATCGATCAAGAAAGTTCCCTATATCTTGTCCTGCTCTACTTACTTCTCGAGTATCAAATGATATAAAAGTGTACAAAGAAAATGATATAAAAGTGACAGTATCTCTATAGCAAGAGTCAAGGGAAGTGGTGTTATTACCATGAATGTGCTCAAAGATGGGATCTTTCTGATCAAGATGGTCAGCAACCCGACGTATCGCACAAGTGTTTTCATTGTGACCTCGGCGAAAATTAGCTTCCTTGGCTTTTGCAAACCAGTGTACTCGCAGGGCTTCTGGTAGGGAACATGTCTTGACCTTCCCATTGGGTTTCCTCTCTGTCACTTGAACCATATTATAACTGATCAACTCTCTCAAACACGCCTCTGAAGCATCTTCAGGGGAATTGTCACCATTCTTTTGGCGCCCCAAACCCTCAGCAACCCACAATGCCATCAATCTTCTTGCAGGAACCTTATAACCCACAGGAAATAATCCAAAATAAAAGAGACATAGCCTCAAATACAAAGGCAAATATTTGTTGATCTCTTCCAAGACTGTTGACCAAGGTTCTTCATCTTGATTTAGTTGGTCAAGTGCCGTTGACCATTCGCCGTTGACCATTTCCCTCTAGAGTTGCTTTCTCTATGTGACAGTAATTCTGCTATTTCACATCACCTTAGCTAATTTCACAATCACCTTAGGCAACCCCCCACATTTTTTAGTGATTTTAGGATTATTTTCCCTACTTGAACAATTAAAATTGATTAATGAACTAATAAAATAAATTGGATAGAATTAAGTGAAGTCAAAATCCCTAGTAGACTATAATCTTTGATTTCTTTTAATCAAATATTGTTGCTTGATTTCTTTTTATTCCCTTTTATTTGTTGAATTTAGTTTCTAAAAATAATTCTCCTTATTGCTGTTTAAATAATAATAGGTTACCATAATTTTGTTACTTGATATACAATCCATGTGGATACGATACTCTTCTCATTCTATATTACTTATTGCGATTTTATACACTTGCGAAAATTGTCATCGTTACTAAAATCATAATATAATTTTGAAGTGTTTTTATAACCAAGTTCCCAAAATATAATTTCCATGACACCAACCTCAGTTGATCCATCTACCCAAATCCGGTGAGGGAAATTATCTAAAATAATCTGGCTTTCATATATGAACTTCACAAGCCTTGTCTTGCCAATGCCTTTAACACGCTGGGAGAGTCCAAATTGAGAAGAAATACAAAGCCTAAACAGTTTTCTATCTCCAGTTTTGATAATTTTTGTTCTATTGTTCTTCTCTCTTTTTAAGACTTTAAGTGTTCAAGATTTGTGCCAAGATTCAAGGAAGCCGTCTAGAATTAATTATTGACTAGTTTTTATCTCTAAACTCTTAATCTTGTTTTATATTCTGATTTTCGAACATTTGTCCGGAAGGCTATTATGTTGGGAATTGAACATTATTGGGGAGAACCCAAAACTAGCTTTTGGGAATTACCTATCTTCGTTTTAGTCAGAAGAGCCCAACAAACATTCTCAGCAGAGCGGAAAACATCGCCAAAGTTGTTTCGTCCATATGCCTTCTCTTCCACTAATTGTTTTCTTTGATCAATGATTTCTTAGAAAACCTCAAAGGACTTGAATTTCATTCTCTTAACAACCTGGGCTTTGCGTTTCTAACTGAGAGCTTAAGCATGTCTCCTTACCAACTAAGGCTTTCAAAATTGGAAATTACAGGCCGACAAAACCAAATTGTTAGTTCCTTCATTTCCAAATTTCATATGGCTAAAGGTTATTATGCCAACTTAACCAATTGGAAAAAACTTGCTTGAATAATTCTGGAAATAATTAACTTTGATCAAAAAGTTTTTTTTTTTTTTTTTTTTTTGTTTTTTCCCCCCCCCCCCCCCCCCCCCCCCCCCCACCCAAAATTTTTTTTTTCTTTGTAGAATCTATAAGAATCTGTTCAAGTCGTGATGCTAAAAAACATAAAAGAATTGTCTTGGCAGATCAACAAGGCTCAAAATACAGCGAATGATAGCTTCTCCACTCCTCCTTTGGGCTGATCTGATTATCAACTCATCAATCAAATCTTCAATGTCATACATAATCTCGATTAATACATATGGGGACAACACATTCTCCTCCAAATCAGCATATTTTTGCAACTGGGCTTCGATCCATTGGAATCGATCATCAAATTCAAGCAATGAATCAGATTCTTGAATAAGAAGATTCAAAATTTTTCCTAAAACAGACAACACGGTTTGTCTTGCCACGTATGGGTTAGTTGTTCTGGTTTGTCTTGCCATGTATGGGTTAGTTGTTCTGGGGAAGGAAAGCATGTTGCAGAAGAGAGAAGTGAAGGGAAGAGGAGTAAAGTTTGGAGCTTTTTTTTGTTTTTTTTTTTTTCCTGTATTTCGAAGGAGCGGTCAAATAAGGCGAATAAAATTGTTCTTTAAACATAATAATTTTTATTTCTTAATCTATATGAAAATAGATAGTCCATCTTTCACCATAATAATTGTTATAAATAACCCTTGTTAATAGCAAGTGGGCTATCTTTTTAGTTTTAACCATTGTTAATTGTTATTTCTTTAACCATACTAATTGATAGAATCCCTCCTCTTTATTTATTTTGGAAATATTGAAACCTGTGGAAGTTATGTTAATTAATTCCAAAGTTATCAGTTGCTGCTGTTAAAACTCCTATTTGTCAAAATGCTTCAAGGTAGGTTAGGTATTATCTAAAGATATTAATTATGAAAATAAATAAATCTGTCAAAAAAGTGAAAATATTATTACTATCGATCTATATTTGCCACACCTCTTCTACTTTGGCTTTGTCTTTGTTTTTATTTTTGTTTGACTTGTATTGGAGATTGTAAAGGCACAAGCTAAAAGTACTAATTTTTTTTAATCTATATCTATATAAAAGTTGAAACAATGCGAAAGTTTAAGGATTTTTTTTTTTGTTCAGCATGTTTTTCTGGAAATTTTTGAAAGTTTTTTATTTTTTTCTGGAAATTTTTGAAAGTTTTTTATTTTTTTATTTTTGTGTCGTGATTTGACAGTTTAAGTATTTTGATTAATATTTTATTATAAACTATAGATATTAAATTATTTAAATTGGACTTTATCTATATCTAATTAATATATATATATCAATTAAGTGTGATTTAATTGATCTTTTTACGTTTTGTCGAAGATGTGAGTAGCTATATGATGATTAATTTAGCAAGGGAAGACGTGGGTGTGACAATGGGGACTTCAATGACTTTGATGTTATTTGCAAGACTTCTTCAAGGGTTTACTTGGAAAGTTCCTCCTAATCAGACAAGTATTGATTTTAAAGAGTCTGAAAGTAATCTAACACTTGCTAAGCCATTGATTGCACTCGCGAAGCTGCGCTTGCCTACACATGTATATTGCGAAATCATTCATAATTAACTTGGGAAAGAGATGTCTACATGGAACCCAATCTGTAACCTTTTATTTCATAAGCTAATTTAGTCTAACTCAATCTTGGTAGGTGAAAAAAACCTGGTCAACTACATTAAAGTAAAGCTCAATATTTCAGATTCTGATAACACATTTTAAGAAGGTATCCGACCGTTAAAAAGGAACTATGCATGACAAATATAAAAAAAAAAAAAAAAAAAAAAAAAAAAAAAAAAAAAAAAAAAAAAAAAAAAAAAAAAAAAATCATCTAAAAAACCTCTCTTGTTTTATAGTCTTGAGTTGTTAGCTTCTTGGTATTTGTTCATCGATTATGTAGAGCAAGATGCATACTACCGCTCTTAACAACCTTTATACTTATATCTTATATTATTATAGAAAATGATATTTGCTTACAAAGAAAAAAAAAAAAAATCAATCAGATCTGGTCTAATTAATCTTTTTACTAGTGTGAATAGTGAGAGGTTTCGAGACTTTTACCATAGGAGTAGTTTTCACCAATTTGATGAGTTATGGTGAGGGCTACCCCTATTGTGTAGCTCATCGTTCAGCCTCCTAATAAATAAATAAATAAATAAAAGAAAAGAAAAGGAATCGATAATTTTTAGAGATTTTGGACACGGACTCATGGGCTTCATTGTATGCTTGGCCTTTCAACTTGAGAATATATTAATGAAATATAAGGAACAAATATATTAATGATAATCATGTCTAAACTTTTATAAGGATTACTCATTAGATATTAAATGAGCATAAACACTGGCACGATATGCCGATCAATTATTATAAATTATATATTTATAAATGTAATTTTCGAATTGTGCCATGATAATGGAATATAACATTGCAAACTTTATGCATGATAATTTACATTTTGACTTGATCCGTAATAATTTCAACTTATAGATAGGATTATAAATATTATATTGGCACATACATACACACATGACTATGTACGAAAAGCATAATAGTATATTTACAGTTTGGTAATGCTACTTCTAGCAGCAGTTTGGTCAAAATATTTGTCAACACACAATTATATTTTTTTCAATTAAATAAAATTAAACATCTACACATGAGCATTTTTGTCTGGGTTGAATTAGTACAAAATATTGCATAATTTATATGCAATTAGTACATATAAGTGTGTTGTTTTTAAGTGATAGGAATATAAATAAGGAAGATATAAAAGGATTGTGTGGGAAAACTTCCCCACAAAAATGATTCAACAAAGGCATAAAATTTAGTATTAATATATAAATATTCAGTAAATTGATTGAATATATTGATAAAATTATGGTTGAGTGTTTGCTAGAGAAGTAATAAAAATAGTTGATTAAAAAAAAAAAAATACAAAGAATGTATAGGCACATTTGAAAGTTTTGGGCTATTGGGCCAGGGAAAGACAATATGCCTGAACTAAAGGTAACTTTGTCAATTTACTGTTATCACAAGGGTAAAAGCATCTCGTAACTTTGTCAATATGCCTAACCAAAGTCTTTCGTTTTCTTCTACACTGGTAATTTCTAAATTATTGGCTTTTTCAGTACTCTTTTTTTTTTTTTTTTTTTTTTTTCTTTTTTTTTTTTTTTTTTTCTTTTTACAACACTCTTCTTGTGAAAAACTAAATTAGCCAGTAACTAAAAAAAAAAACAAAAGGTTATATATTATTATGTCAATAATTTCTCATTTTTGCTGGGCAATTTCAACTTTCAATTAATAATATTATATTTGTTTTATTCTTTAAAAAATCAAAATTACTTATAAAATTTTAAAAAATAACCACCACACATGCTTTGGAGAGACATTTATAAGCATAAGGAGCGAAATTAATTATGATAATTATCAAAATTATTACAACTAGAAATTACACTATTAAACAGAAAAGAATTACAAGCTCCAAACATCTCTGAATTGCCATTAATTATTATTAGACAATGCAGATATTTTTGCTAGAAACAAAACAGAGGAATACATTGCTGTTACCCTTTATAAATTGAACTTTTCTGTTTGCATTATCATCTTCGTATAACAGATGAGGCGCACGATGCGCAAATTTTATTTCAATCTTCATTTTGCTTTATCTTTCAGGCTTGATGATAAAACATGGGCGTTTTGTTAGTTTTACTTCTCAGAAGCGGGTTCGATGGATCGCAAGTGCATTCAGAAAGCATCTTTCAAAATTTATTGGCAGTTGTCTAATTCCAGGTGTTTCAGGACTTAGCATTTGCTCCTTTTTCCATATTCCCATTCTCTAATAGCTCCAGCTCCACAGCTTTGAGGACTTTCAAGCTTTCGGAAATTCCTCCATTCTTTGCAAAGCATTTCTTCCTGAAATGATTTCCGAAAAACAATCTCACAATTCTGGAGTTGGAAAGCTTCTCTAATGTCTGCAGTTGGGAAGCTTCTCTAATGTCTGCATTGGGTCCTCGATTAGTCCAGATGCAGACAAGGTGACCTCAGTGAGGCTTTGCGGAAAATTAGATATAAGATCTTGATTCCTTAGCTTTCCAACCAAATATATATCAGAAAGCTCCACATTGCCAGATAAAGACTGCAAATGTACATCCCAAGGCTGACCTGATTCATCAAATGACTTCAACCTCAGAGATTGAAGGTGTTTTAGATTCACAACCCAATCTGCTATATTAAACAGTTGCAAGGACATGGCTGCTTTTTGAGATGGGTCTGATGTTTTGCATTTCAGTGCCAATTTTCTGATGCTTAACCAACTGTCTAGGCCATCTTTTACTGGACTATTCTCATTTATGAATGCACCCCAAAATGTTTGAAGTTCCACTGAAGATCTGTGTTCTTGTTGAGGGATAAATGTGCTGCAGAAACTCTCATCTAAGAATAAATGCCTTAGTTTTTGCATCTTCCAGATAGTGATGGGGATAGTATTGATGCAGGTGCGCTTCAAATCAAGTGTTTGAAGGTTCAGCAATTTGTCAATGAAGCAGGTGCGCTAAATCAAAGCTGTTTGATTGGATGGTTTCAGACAATTTGGGTCAATTGACATGGGAAGCATTTCTATGGTAAGTTGATTCTCAAACCCTTTAGTATCTCAAAGTGGATGAGCCTGACCTACTACTGCTTTGGGCAGTTTTTGGCTTGTAACATTTTTCACGCAGATCAGTCACCATTAGAACGGAAGCATTGCTGGACGATGCTGCATCGATCAATGAAAGTTCCTATATTGTTCCTGTCTCTAATTTCCTTCTCTTGAGTATCTCTATTTCCTTCTCGAGTATCAAATGATAAAAGAGTGATGGTATCTCTGTAACAAGAGTTCAGGGAAGTGGTGCTATTACCATGAATGTGCTCGAAGATGGCATCATTCTGATCAAGATGATCAGCAATGCGGCGCATGGAACTGTTGTTTTCAATATGAGCACGGACAAAATTAGCTTCCATAGCTTTTGCAAACCAGTGTACTCGCAGGGCCTCTGGTAGGCAACACGTCTTAACCTTCCCATTGAGTTTCCTTTCTGTCGCTTGAACCGTATTATAACTGATCAACTCTCTCAAACACGCCTCTGCAACATCTTCAGGGGAGTTGTCATCATTCTGTTGACGCCCCAGACCCTCAGCAGCCCACAAAGCAACCAATCTTCTTGCAGGAACCTTATAACCCACAGGAAATAATCCAAAATAAAAGAGACATCGCCTTAAATACAAAGGCAAATATTTGTTGATCTCTTCCAAGGCGCCTGACCAAGGTTCTTCATCTTTATTTAGTTGGTCAAGCACCCTTGACCATTCCTCTAGAGTTGCATCTCTCTGTGATAGCAGTTCTGCTAATTATTTAGTTGGTCATGCACCTTGACCCGATTTTATCCTACTATAGAGTTGCATCTCTCTGTGATTAGCAGTTCTGTCTAATTTCACAATTCACATCTTTCGGTCGTTTACCAGGCCCATCATCTATTTTTCTTGAAATAATGTTTTTTTCAGATTTTGGCTTCTACTTGGAGGATCTTTTTTCTTCAAAGCATGTGCTGAACAATTCTCCAGCGTTCTCAATCATTGCTTTCGTCTAGATTGCACAGTCTGTAAGACAGAGTATTGGTTCCTTCGGTGACTGGCGGAGCTTTTGGGATAACCTAATCACAAGGAAATTTTTTGCTTTGTGCCATTAAAATATGCTCTCTGAATGCTGTTGGATTTCATTTCTCAGGCCAAAAGTTAGCACATTTGCGTTTCGATGCATCAACAACGATGAGACACTTCTCTAAGCGATTACTGACACAAATTAAAAAAATTATTAACTACATTCTGACCTCAGCCATGTCCCCTTTGTGTACTTTTCCGTTTCTATGACAGTAGGAGTCAATAATAATAAATTTTTGGACACGCGTACAGTTGTTAGATATCTAGGTTGGCAGACGTGTCGTACTTCCTCATATAACTCAGTTTTTCCACTGAAGCACTATTCACTTGATCTAGCAACCGCAGTTCGGTGAGGGAAATTATTTAAAATATATCTGGCTGCCACAGATCATTGCAAAAGGTTGTCTTGCCAATCGCGCCCAAATTATCTAAAATAACCTGGCTGCCACAGATCAACTTTGCAAGGTTTGTCTTGCCAATGCCTTTAACACCCACAATTGAAATGGTGAGGCAGCGAGGATCATCTTTGAGCAGTTGTTTTATAACTGCATCAACATCCTCTTCAAAGCAAACCATATCAATATCAAGTTGCTCAGGAGTAGCAGTAGGAGGAGTTATGCTTGGAAATCGGTCCGTGTGCCATGTTCTTTGATGCATGGCTTCATAGATTCGTTTTGAAATATCGGAGACTTTAACCTGGATTCGAGCCATCTGTTGGACAAGATTACGTTGGGAAATGAAATTACGGGGAGACCAAACTAAGCTTTTGGGATTACCTTTCTCATTTTTAGTCAGGAAGAGCCCAACGACATTCTCAGTGGAGCGACAAACATCGCAAAGTTCTTCCGTCCATGCCATTCCCCTTTCACTCAGTGTTTCTCGTGATTCAAGATCTTTTAGAAAGGCCTTCAAGCACTTGAATTCATCTCTTAACCACCTGGCTTGCTTTCTAACTGCAGGCCTGAGCTGTCTCTTAGAAGCTAAGGCTTCAAACTTAGAAATTACAGGCGAAACAATTGTAGTGCCTATTTCCAAATCATATGGGCTAAAGGTATTATGCCAAGAACCAGATCCGCAAGCGAGGCCGAACGTTCTGGAAACATTAATTTCGATTAGTTTCAATTTTTTGTAGAATCTATAAGAATCTGTCAAATCGATGAGTGCCAAAACATAAAAGAATTGTCTTGGCAGATCAACAAGGCTCAAAATACAGCGAATGATAGCTTCTCTACTCCTCCTTTGGGCTGATCTGATTATCAACTCATCAATCAAATCTTCAATATCTCCTCCTTTAGGCCTGATTACGATTATCAACTCCATCAATCAATCTTCAGATGTCATAATAATCTCGATAATACATATGGAACCACGGAGTCTCACCTAATCAGAATGTTTTCGGCAACTGGGACTTTCGATGCATTGGATATTGATCTTCAATTATAGTTCAATGAATTATCAAGATTCTTGGTAATAAGAACAGATTCAAATATTTTTTCTCTAATACAGAAGCAACCGTGTTTGTTGCCATGTATGGGTTAGTTGTTCTGGGGAAGGAAAGCATGTTGCAGAAGAGAGAAGTGAAGGGAAGAGGAGTAAAGTTCGGAGCTTTTTTTTTTTTTTTCCTTTATTTCGAAGGAGCGGTCAAGTAAAGTGATATGTGTAGACAGTACTTATTAGGAGCTTTTAGTCTCTGAGGAGATACTTGGGCATGGTGATCAAACTTTGGCTTTGTTGACTGGAAGTCTTTCGTTTTCTTCTACGCTGGTAATTTTTCTAAGTTATTGGCTTTTTCAGTATTTTTTTTTCTTTTTACAACACTCTTCTGTAAACTAAAATTAGAGTTAAAAAAAAAAAAAAAAAAACTAATAAAATGTAGAGTTAAAAAAAAAAAAGAAAAACAAAGGTTTAATAATTCTATTATTGTCAAATATTTCTTCATCAATTGTTGACCTGAGCAATTTCAACTTTCAATAAATAATTATTTGATTATTTGGTTTTTCCAATTTAATAAAATTCATTAAAATTATATTCAAATTTTAACAGAAAAAATAAGCACACGACATGCTTGGAGTACCTATGTTGAAGAGAAAGAATAATTATGGCATAAATATTCAATATTGCACTAGGAGAATACACAACATCAAGAAATGAATTCAAGCTGCAAAAAAGACATTCGTGATATGCCCTTACTTATATGTTAGAGAAACTGACATATAATCAATGCATAATTATTTGCTATATATTACAAGAAACAGAGGAATCATATGCTGATACTCCTTTATATTGAACTTTGTTCTGCATTATCAACTTTCTATAGCAGATTGAGGCAAACCATTGGCATTTTTTAGTTCAAAATCTTTTTTCTATTCCATTTGTTTATCTATCAGGGTTGATGGATAATCATTGGAAGTTTTTGTTAAAGTTTTACTTCTCGGAGGGGTGTTCAAATGCAATCGCGTGCAAATCAGTGAAGCATCTTCAAATTTATGCGCAGTGTCTAACTCTCGCCAGGTTGTGATTCAGACCACTAAGGTTCATAGTTGCTTTTTCCTTTTCATATTCCATTCCTCTAATTAGCTCCAGCTCCATACAGCTTGAAGGACTTCGAAGCTTTGGAAATTCTCATTCTTTGCAAGCACTTTTCTTTCCTGATTGAAAATTAATTATTTCGAAACAATCTCAACAATTCTGAGCTTGGGTAATAGCTCTCTTATTATTGTTCTGCATTGGGATCGTGTCTCGTGTATGGCGATCGAGATTAGAATCTCAGATGCAGACCAAGGTGACCTCAGTGAGGCTTGTGCGCGGAAATTTAAGATATAA